TGGATTTTATTTTAATAAAATATCAAATATCAAATATCAAACGTACTTATGTACGTTGATTTTATAATATTAACCTTGTATTACAAAATGTTCTAAAATAATTATTCGTTGACTTACATTAATTCGGTTTTATATAGCCTGAGATTATGCATCATTATTGTTGAAAATATATAAATATTTATCAGATATTCTAGAATTATTTAACAGTATGTTAATTATTACTTCCATTGCATATAAAGTTAATAAAGTAAACATCATTAATACTAAGTCAATCAAATCACCGTTACTACAAATAATTGAAAGAATGATATCCAGAACAACAACTTTAATCACTTCGATATAAATGGAATAAGATCCAATAATATTAATGATAAATATTTATTATTAATTAAAAGAATAATAACGACGTGACGAACACGTGTGAAAACATCAAAGAATTAAAATATGTATATAAACATGCTAATTGAAAATTAATTACTGAATCAATGTAATTACCAATTTCTATGCATTTCTGCAATTCAATTTTTTTAGCGATTTAATTGAAATCAAGGTTTTATACGCCGGTTTCTAGAACACGCAATATTCAATTATCATTAGGAAAGTCCATTATAATAGACATATATATATATATATATATATATATATAATATCTTTTTTATTTCAATATTGCTGATTTATAAATAGGTTATAATGAATTACAATATATTTCAGAGTATTAAACATTGCTTTGTCCCAACGAATAAATAAGTAAATTAAATTGTTAATGATTAATGAAATGATAATAAAACTCTATTTAAATTTTTTGACCTCATACAAACTTGAACGTTTTCTTTCGATTAAAACCGCTGTTGATAATATAACTATACAAATATAAATTTATTAATATATATTTGATTTTAATATATGATGAAAATTTTCAATCACGATTACAAGATTATATTATTAATTGCATAACTAGAGACAATATTGTGGTTAACCTAGGCGTATAAAAAATTAGCGTTTCGTTGAAGATAATGATCAATTTTTGCACCTGGCTCGATCATGACCTAAATCATAGTGGTTTTACATAATTATTCATATAAAAGTATAAACCACAGATGTTTATGAAGGTTTTATACACAATTATTTAAAGGGCAATTTATTAATTACATGATGCCACAGTAAAAAATATATATTTATGAACAAAGCATTAAAATCATTTAGCAAAACATGTACTAATTAAGGAGTATGTGGTTCTATAAAATATAAAAAAATGTGCTTATAAGAAAATAGTTATTTATTATATAATAAAAACTTAGTACTTCAAAATTTTGAAGAAATTGCCAATATTTGAAATTTAAGATTTCGATATAGTAAGACAAACAAAATATAGGATTTGTCTGAATAATTAACTTCCCGAAGGAGAAGTTTATTTTTTTATGGATGCAAGCAATAAATACATTTTAATAGAAGTAGGTTAAAAATAAACTAAAACTAGTGGTGCATGGCATCGCGCCTTAAGGCAAATTGCAGGAACTTCCCGTGTGAAAATATTCGAAGAATATTAAATGTTTTCAAATATATTATAATTACTATTACTTTTATTATTCGTATTTTATAGACAAGTTTTTAAAGTTTATAATGTAATGTAAATGGATGATATTGTTCATATAGGTTTACATGAAAAGTAAAATAAACAAAACTTAATGATTTCCTTCGAAGGGGAGTTAGAGTGAAGAATCTTGTCTCATAATTCTAAGAATTATATAAACTGAATTGCAAAGTTAAAATTATTTATTTCAAGTAATTTAGCTAGAATTAGAATTAAAATCCGCAATTATTTTCAAAAAAAAATTTGTAAATTGAATTTTTCTATTTGACGGAAAATTGTATTCACACATACACACACATCCGTTTTCATGAGGTATGCCAAAATATTCAGAAAGCTCTGAAACGTGAAGATATGCAAAAATATTTATTTCTGATTTTTGTTAACGAGAAATTACAAATACAATTATGATCATAGATGTAAAATATGATTTTAAGAAAAACTGACTTTTAGAGCATTTCTTCAGCATATGAAAAATATATGATATAAATTACCATTGAAAAAGAAAAACCATTGGGTTGCCATGTATAATAGCATTATACCCAAATTAATGCAGGAAAAAAAGGTGAACTTTTGATTTCTTTTTACTGTGCTCCAATTTGCATGAAATTTATGGTATTAGGTTCATCTGATCCTCAGATTCAAAAGTATATATATATATATATATATATATATATATATATATATATATAAAATAAATTTAGAAATATAAAAGAAAGTTAGAAAAAATAGAAAAATTAGAAAAAAAATCGTAACGATAAACGAACATTTAAAACATTATATGAAATGCATTTAATTATTACAAGCAAGATACAAGATAGAAGTGCCATAAATAAAAACGTTTTCTTATCCATCGTTTAATTATCCATTATCCCAATGACCAATTAATCTCCGATCACTCTGCTGCTAATTATTGTGGATAAAATAACATTAATTGCTGACATGTCATAATTGATTCCATATCAGTCACGGTGTCAAAGTTCAATATGAGGAGAATTCAAAGAAAGGTCGCGCATTCCAAAGCAAGGATGTTTGCATAAAAAGAGCCTTCGTGTCGAGACAGCTGTGACATGGGACACATGTTACATGAAAAATAGAAAAAGAATTATATGTAAAGAATCATGATAAAAAATCAGTTATCGTCGTGACAAAAATTTTTCCACGCGGGTCAAGTTCACGTACGTTGTTTGTTGACACCACGGTGGGGTATGTTGAATAGATAAGTGTTTGTTAATGACGGACTTGGTAAAAAAAATATAACAAAATATAATGCAATGTAATTATGACTGGTGTACATCGTATTTTAACATAGAAATTAATTCAAAATTGAACTATGAAACAAGACCTACTAGTCGGTAAGTTGGTAAACCAGCGGTTTGAAAGATCCAATAGAAAATGTAAAAAAATGCCATTTGGCGGACAAAAATGATCATCAAATTATCACATATTTTATAGATGTTTTAAGAATAAGAACAAATATTGTTCACATTTCTATGGATTCCGCACCAATGTTTATCCGTTATATATATTGCAACGCGGCGCCCACGCGCTTCTATATTTCGTTTCTACACAATTTCTAAAATATTTCAAATTATAAAAAAATCAAATTTTTCAAAAAGCTAAATTTTCTTCAAAAATTTTAAAAATCTCAAGTATGATTTTTTTCAAAGACTTAAAAGAGAATTTAATGTTTAATACTCACTTAATAACGTCATAGTGAATATGTAAATTTCTTAGGTCAAAATCCATAACACAGATTATTGATCCAAATGAGGTATAAATATGTTTTCTCGTAACAAAACAGCCAAGGAAAAGTTCATGGTTATCAATCCACGCGAGACATATGTTTTGCCATTGATTTTTGATAAATCCAAGGCGATGGAATACAACATAAATACATATATTTATATAATGCATTTGTTCATAATCTCATGTGTAAAAATAAATTGGGTAGATAACAAGTTAAGAATAAATATAACTTGAATTATGTCGTTCATAAAAATTAGTGATGAAAATAAATCAAAAGCGTATACTGCAGTTCTAACAAGAGGAGTATTAATTGACAAATATAACTATGACTTCTGGTAAGTATCGATATTTATGTTTTTGAAGTAAAACTTCTATAGGCGCGACTAGGGTGTAAATCCGTACAAATGCAACGGATGTGCGTTACGGCAGATAAGCTAAGATAAGAGCCGAGTGCCAATGATTCGTCATTCGCTCTCGATTATATCATTTTTATACGGTATTGTGATGAGTCGTTGTATGCGTACCGATATCAACAAGGAAATCGGCATAGATATATAGACATTTTAAAGTTACATCGTAGTACAAATCTTGATTTAATGAAAAATGCCTGGATCAGAAAAATATTTTACCCTGTCCCCCGTAAATAATTATAATGAAAATATTAAAACAAATGCAGCAAATTTATTGAAATAATTTTTATATTATTCGTAGTTTTTATAAATTTTTGAAGTTATTGAAATAGAAAACATTTTTAAGGTAAAACATATATTACAGCTGTTCAAAAAATGAGATTATATCGTCAGCGAAAAAGTAAAAAAATACCACCAGTCAATAAATGTATGTTAATTTTAATTACATGAAGTTCTTCGAGCATAAGCATTATTACATAATGAGGGAAGTTGCGAAAACAATATTTGTTTAGGCGTTGTTTAACATAATTCACTGTGTGAATGAATATTATAGAATTTATAAATCAGCAATTACTTCATTTCTTTAATCTTTATTTCTAAATGCTAATTACAATGACAAACCGATCATGTATTTAAAGTATGACTTTAATTACATTATTGTTTTTAAATATTATACATATTTTTAATGCTATTATAAATATATAATTTGTAATTTAAATATAATTCTTTGACATTAATAAATGTGTACCTCACGAGTGTTACCATATTACTAATAAACATCATTCAAAATTGTTATATGAAGTATTTATTTTTACTTAAAGCCATCTTGTACAGTAGCAAATAAGTTTTTTTTATATTTTATTTTTCGAGATTATCCTAATTGTTCTTGCAGCAATTAATATTTGTAACTATAGTTTACAACATTTTTTCAAAAAAAAATCATAAGGTCAATCAAGCACATCGTTTCTACATATGTCTAGAGTTAAAATTTTAATTTTAGCAGATTTTTATTTTGGATTAAAAAACCGTAAGTCAAGTGAAGTAGTACTTCTTCATTGTTGATCATACGATACAAGAACCAAAATTTATTTGTCAGTCTCCACCAAATTCAAAATAAAAGAAGGCTCGAATCCAAAACGCATTGTGAACATTAGTACTTATTAAGAAAAAATAGCAAAACAAAACGATGCAAAGTGATATATAAGGTAAATATAAATATAAATATATACAAAAAAACATTATTTTTCTCTTACCAGCATCTGCTTAGTTTTCGTGCTGAGACCAGCTCCAAGTTTCAACTGAGCAGCCATCATCATGATTTCATTTACAGTGAACAAAGGATTTAGTTGATCATCTTGCATAATATAACTGGATAACTTCCTAAAATGTGGTGGAACATATAATCCTAAACCTTTTTTTCTTAATTCTTGTTCAGATCCAGAAGTTCGTATCGTGCCTGTGACTCCTTCAGTCCTGTAATTATAAAGAAATAATATTTTTTTACAGAATCAATTATTTTGGCAAAACAAGCCATTCAAATCGGATGCTTAGTTCTCTCAAAAACTGTCATTTTTTACACATTTAGCTCGGTATCTCCTAAACGGCTAGACCTGCCTTTTCATAATCTAATCACCACTTCTCCCCGTCATTACAATTGAATGTTTTTTAGATCATGCAGATCGGATGCTTTTTTCTATCAAAAACTCGATTTCTATTATCTGCACTCTTTGCTAAGTATCTCCGAAACGGCTGGACTTTATCTAATCTAATCAGCACATCTCCCTATCAATAGGAATCGAATGTTTTTTGAACCATTCAAATCGGTTGATCCATGCGCCCGAAAACATTGTACGAAAAATTGTATCCATACATAGAGATACACACACATCCATTTTTTCTGAGGTATGACAAAATGTTCAGAAACCTTCAAAACGTGAAGAAATGTAAAAAAAAAAAAAATTTCGCTTTTTTGGACGATTACACTAACTTACTCTAAGAGAAGTTAATTAAATTCGAATTTTAAATTGTTGAGTCGAATTTGAATGAAATTAGAAGTAAGAAGAAAAGGTTAGAATTGGAGAAGATCAGCTTAAAAAGAAAAGAAAAATGAAGAAAACATATTGAAACTTTATATAAAATTATTGATATAAAATAAATATATTAAATTTTAAAAAATAATATTTGAAGTTATTTAGTTTAACAATTAATTGCAAAAATTATATTAATAGTATTATTCATAATCCTATATATAATTTCTTTCCATATCGATATAACAAAATGATTCATTTATGCATAATTCTATTTACAATTTATTGTTGTATAATTTTTCTGAAAATTATTACCGATCGGTAATTACAAAAGAAACAACTTTTTGTCGTCATTATATGTAATAAGAGTAGAATATTGAGTTGATTTATAGGAAAATGAGTCGTCAAACTAGAACAATATGTAATAAAAGTTAGAATCTATGTAGTAAATCATCTATGGAATAAAATATGAGACAAATTGGCGCTAATAATATATTTATATATGATACATGATACTTATCTACGTAACTTGACAGGTTAATTACATTTTTTCAGGAATTTAAGGTATGATAGAATTAAATAGTTTCAGTTATGGAGTTCAGTTAGATATTATTCGACTTACTAAAGCTAAAGATATAGTAACGTATAAATTTTATTATACATATATTGTTTCAAATTGCAAGATTTTTTTGATGTGATGCCCGATTATCATTATTACATATGTCAGCATTAAATTCACAATTATGCAAAAAATATATGTCTATGTGTTTTTCGTACGACGAAAACAGCGTCTATTAGTGCCTACTTATATAGCATAAAAAATCTGTTTTTTATTGTACAAAATGTATAATATCACCTTAATAAATTTTATTGCAGTATAATAGAAAAATAACATAGTCAATTACAATTTCATGATGATGCAAAAACTACGATCCGTCGTTGTTCATTGACATTGAAAAAGACACGCATGGGCGAACGGGCACGCAACATTATAAATTTGCATTTGTCGACGAATTTCGACATTTTATTATTTCTAACAAATGACGAATAAAATGCGCATTAATTACTAACACTAGATCAATTGTTTGTACATAATATTTTTAACTAGTTGGTATTGGTATTTTGCCTTGAGGCAAGTTACATGAACTTCCCGATATGTGTAAAATCGACTTAATCAACAAAAAATAAATTAATTTATGAGTGATTAAAAGTATTCCGAGTGGGTGTATTACACATAATTGAAAACGAACGAACACGAACTCGGAGTATTTTCTAAAAGCAAATTTTCAAAAATTAATAATTTTTATAATTGAACCAGTTTCTGTAGAATTTTAATGATTTAGTATGTTCATCAAGACCAAATACTCTATCGTTATACCAAGTAAATCGTCTAGTTTTAATTTTAACAAACGTCAAAAAAACTAGTCATTTTCTTAAACTTTGATGAATTTTTAAAATTACACTTGTTGTTGTAAGGCTGCAATATTTCAGTGAGTTCTATAAGACCATGATATATAACGCCAAAAAAAGTTCCATGAAAATCGGCATCATTTTTTTTTCAACAATCTATGGTTCGGTAGATTTTCACCTCAAACTATTCAGTATCATTTCCAACTAATATCTTTCGAACAGTTTTTGATTTTTTAAAATCAATTCGGTAGTATGAGCTTAAATTTGGACGAAAAGTTTAACACTTTTTTCAAATTACAAAGAAACGGCTCGACCGATTGTCGCACAAAACTGAGAAACGATAATCTTCATTGAGATACATCAAATGACTTTTAAATTTCTGAAATCGGTTCCGAAAAACGATACTAATTTTTGCAAACTTTGACGAATTTTTAGAGTTAAACGAGTTGTCGTAGGGCTGTAATATTTCAGTATGATCTATAAAATTATGGTTTCTACCGTCAAAAAAAAAATAATAAAAAACGACGAAAAAAAATTTAACACTTTATTTCAAGAAAACGGCCCGGTCGATCTTTACCAAAAACTAGTCAGGTCGATTTCCAAGCAATATCTTTCGAGCGGTTTTTGAACTTTTAAAGTCGATTCAGAATTCCGGGCTAAAACGTGGACAAAAATTTTTTCACTTTTCTGCTATTTATGAAGAAACGGCTTGGCTGACTGTCGCGCAAAATTGATATATGCTAGTCCTCATCGAGATACATCGAATGGCTTTTAAATTTTTGAAATCAGTCTAGCTGTTTTTAAGTAAATGTCGATATACGGCAAATAATCTGTTCACACACACACATACTTTTTCCAAATTTGGTCTCATTCGATTCAGAATAAAATAGAAACGTCGAGAAGACATAAAATTAGCGGATCGGATTTTTTAATGAAAACGAACTTCTCTTTCAGGAAGTTAATAAATAACTCATTCAAAATTTATAATGTTAGATTATATAGATAACCTAGGATTCAGACATTCTTTCATGGTGTTACAGCAGCAAATTTTAAGAATATGCTGTCAAAATGTAAAAATAATTGAATCTTACAAATATGTTTCCTCATGAGTATGTTAGCAATGATTATACTAAATGGTTGCTAAATTAGTAATTTATATATAAAAATTCAAAATCAGCACATAGCGATTATAATAAAGAATATTCATAATATGTATATGAATAAAAGTTTCGCTGTTATTTTGATATCTATTACCGCGACGTGTCATAACGATGACCGCACGACTAATTTTATAAACTCGATAAAGATGATTCAGTGAATTTGTTTATTGAAATAATATCGAGGTAGTTTCCATTGAGGGTTATTGTTTTACACTGGTTGAGCAATAATAAAATTCACACAAGCCGACTGAAGAAATATTCATAAGCAGCGGAAATTTTGAGAGTTAGCACACGTCTGCCAATTCTTATATTGCGACCATATAACCCTGAGATTTAACGCATTTCGGGCGCGACCAGTTGTCACAACAACGCGGCGGTCTCCTCAGATGCAATTTATTACACCGGCGGAGGTAAGAGAATCATTTCAAAATCGTAAAAGAGGATAATAGACTGAGAAGAAACACTCTTATGTTCAGAACAATGACATTTTCTTTATTTCATATTAATATAATATCTGCAATTACTCATCAGTCCATTGCAAAGACGGCATCTCTATGTACCATAAAATCGCTAGGAACTTAGTATAGAATGCACCATCAATATGTGGTCAATGAAAAGAGTGAAGTTTCATTTGCGCAATGAAAGGGGTCATTTGATTGACCTTGTTTTTCAAACCTATCTGGAAAATAGTGGGGTGCACGGCATCGTGCCTTAAGGCAAATTGCTGGAACTTCCCGTACCGTAATTAAAAATCTTGGTACAAAACCCAAAAACATTTACAGAAAATGTGTACACATTATTAACAGCTCTATAAAATATCTGATAATTTGATATACATGTGTCCAATAAACATTTTTAACCGCCAAATGACATTTTTTTAACTTATTTTGATTGAGAGTCCATAACTGCTGGGCCTGCCTTCCCAAAATTTAATAAATTCCTTATCTTGTCAATACAAGTAAAATGTTTTTTGAATTATTAAAATCGGACGCTCCGTTCTCCTAAAAACTGAGTTATTGCTATTGGCACTTTTTGTCCCGTATCTTCGCAACAGCCAGACTTGCTTTCGCCAAAATCTAACCATCACGTCTCCTCACCAATACGAATCGAATGTTTTTTCAATTATTCCGGTTGATTGGTGTTCCCGAAATCGACGACGAAGATTTGTATCCGCACACGCCCACATACACGTACACACACACATACCTCCATTTTTTCTAAGGTATGCCAAAATATTCAGAATTGTTTGAAACGTAAAGATATATAAAAATTTTGATTTTCAATTTGTTTACGATTACTATAACTTACCCTACGGGAAATTTAGAATGCAAGGCTTTAAATATAATAATAAAAAAAAGATCATCAAAATTCATTGAAAATTATTCAAGTTGTTCAACATTTCCATTGACCACATATAAATGGAACACCCTGTATAACTAGGCTGACTGAAATGCCTAATTGTTAGCATTGCAAGGAAAAGTCTACAACTCTTCCTAACTACAAAGAAAACCTACAGCAAATATATGCACCCTAAAACCACCGAGAAGTTTGTTTTCATCAAAAAATCCGATTTGCTTATTTTATATTTTCTCGACGTTTCAAGCTATTCTGAATCGAATGAGACCAAATTTGATAAAAAAAATTAGTAGTACCATAAATTGACCTTTTCTCAAAAATGGCTGAACCGATTTCAAAAATTTAAAACGTCGGGACGATCAGCCAAACCGTTTCTTTGTAACTCGCAGAAAAGTAAAAAAAAAATTCTTCCACGTTTAGCCCGCAGTTTTAAATCGATTTTAAAAATTCAAAAACCGTTCGAAAGTTGGGAATAGACCTGATTAGTTTTTGGTAAAGATTGGTCGGGCCGTTTTCTTGTAATAAAGTATTAAAAAAAATTCGACAAATTTTATCTTTTTTTTTGACGGTAGATACCATAGTCTCATAGATCATACTAAAATATTACCCTACGGCAATTCATTTAGCTTTTAAAATTCGTCAATGTTTGCTAAAATTAGTATCGTTTTTTGGCATTTGTCAAAATTAGACCTATAACCTATAACTATGTTTTAACATATTTATTTAGTATGTTGAAATTAATAAGTCCTTCGAAGGTAAAACTCACATTTCTACGAAAGAATGATCTGTTCACAAATATATAATTTTATCTCTATTTTCGCAACATGTCTTTTACGTCTGAAATTTTTAATAATTAATCATAAAATTATAAGAGTCATTATGTTTATGGTCAAGATGTTTACGTCTTAGTCCTTGGGACAAAATATTTTGATCCGAATCATTGTTCAATATGAAAACGTCATTATCAATTGTGTATTTGTTTATAAAAACTTTTATTATTCCATGATTTTATTACACATTGCAAATTGCAATCGTAAAATTAAAAAAAATAAAAGATATGAAAAAATAAGAAGCTTACGTCAATTTCGATAAATGCGCTCACCTTATGCCCTGTTGCCGTGTAAAGTTCGTAGAACATGGGAAAAAATAAATTTATAATAAGAATTATCATTATAAAAAAAATATGTGTTTTAATAAATATATATATATATATATATATATATATATATATATGGTTTTACAATTATTTACCTATATCCTGTAAGAACATTGAGAAGTGTAGATTTTCCTGCTCCGGAAGGACCCATGAGAGCAGACACTTGCCCGGATTTAAAAACTCCGGAAACTCCTTTGAGGACATGTTTATTTTCTGAAAAAGAAAATTAGAATTAAAATTATTATTATTATCGTACATAAATTATATTATATGAATATTGTAATATTATTGAGAGTAGTTTTGCTTAAAATTTGCATTTTTTTTCAAGTTATATAGATTAAAAATTTTGTTAAAAATTAAGTGAAACACATAATTGCATGATGATATAATTAATTATTCGTCCCAATGGCAAGTTTTAATCTCATTTTTCGAATTGTAGTTCTATTCGAGATTATTCACGCGGATGTAGAGTTTTTCTATCGTTCGAGGAAGTGAAGCATTGTATGAACTTTGCATTGTGCTGAATTGAAATTCGCTCACGACAATTATTTTCCACGGAATTAGCATATAATGTCATGATACATTTGAAAAACTTTTAAAAGAAATTATAAAACTTCGTGTCAGCATAAGATGAGTAACTATTATCGTATAATTCGCTATGTAATCGTATTAGAATATTTGTTTTGTTTAGCATCATGTTACAACAGTTTTATAAATTTTGAACTGCAAAGATTGCGGAATTAAAATATACAATTGATTAATAAGACGTAAAGTGATATACTTGTTATTGAAATAAAATATCAGAAAAATTAGTCATCAGTTTTTTGATAAAGTTCAAAAACCCTTGAATATGGAATTAAAAATATAGAATTAAATAACAAACGTGCCTTGAAGCAATTTTTAAAAGATCAGAAAAGATACATTAGGTTTGCTTTGAAAATTTTGAATATTGAAAAAAAATGCACATACTGATATTTGTAAACTAAAATTTGTTGATTATTTGAAAATGTTGAAAATTTGGAAGATTTTTTATTATTTTTGATCCCATTCATGCCAAAAACTTTAGCTTTAACTAATAAGATAATAGAGTAATTACGATTAATGATCAAGATTATGTAATACTATCTTAAATATATATTTAAGTAGGCACTGTCATACACTTGTAATTATTTCCTAGTATATGAATTATCATACACAATCACCAATTAGATGACAAAAAGTAGAAAAAATCGTATGCAAATATAATTCGCAATAAGTTGTCATCTTTTGCCCACGTGTGTATTGTGATATATGCATTTGTTATGTAACAAGAAGTATTGTTTATAGGTAATTTAGTGTAATTTATGTAAATTATTTTTGAATTAAGTTAGTTGCCTTCTAGGATTTTGTTTAAAGCAATCGTTCTACTATGACAATTACATTTCTATCAAATTGTTGACGCGGAAACGAATTAGATTGACATTAAATTATTATTATAAAAATTGTTCCGACGTAAATCGAGTTCAAATGTAATTTATACATATGGATTATATAATTATAAAAAATAACAAACTGTTGTTAATAATTATTAATGATTTTTATAAAGAACTAATACACTAATAATGATCAATTGTTTAGTTTCGCATAAATTACACAGTTGTCTCATAAAATATCATTTATATTTATGTGCACAGCTTAAACAATACACCTTACGTATAATCCATATTTTTTTATTTACTTCATTTATTTAAATAAAATAAAAAAAATATTCATGTATTTATTAATATTTTTCTTAATGTATCAAGTTAACAATTTATTTATTATTATTTTAATTCTTAAATATTAATTTCTAGAATTCAAAAGTACTGCTCTGTAGTTAGTGATTAAGATTTAAAAAAAATGCTTGAACAAAGATTGAATTGCTAAATTTATGTCACGTGTTTTTTTTTTCATTTGCATTTAATTAACTTAATATCACCTAAATTATATATTTCACTTGTTTTCGTAATTAAAATGTTATAATTCCATATCAGAGCATATTCAATTAGTCATGTAAATTAGACAATAAATTTCTTATAATTATTGTTCCAGTCTTGAGTAATTACTCTATTAAATAAATTTCAGAAACTTGATATCTTTATGTTCATAAAACAAGTAATTGCAAATAATGCGGGTAATCTACATTTTACAAAACACACACACATACACACACACATATATATATATGATTTAATTTGGAAAAACAAATTAAAAATAAAATATTAACTAAATCACGTTTAGTTGTGAAATATCTGATATATAATTTAAAACTATTAGAGCAATGTTCGTTGCAACATTTCTATCAAAAAAACTCAATTTTTGCATGTCAGAACTATATGAATAATTTGCAAATGCGATGTGCAAATTATGATAATTAAATATTACTTAAGTATTTTTATTGCAAGTACAAATTTCAATCATAAGAAATCAGGAAACTGATTCAGCTTAATAAGTAAATATAGTGTATTTAATCTTAATGATATTCAGTGCATTCCAATTACCTCAGTGCATATCGATTTTGTTAAATATATATCTGTTTGAGCAATATTATGAAATTAATTAAAACTAGGTTTAGTATTAAATAATATATATTTTTATTCAACCAATCACATTTTTTTAGAATTATCATGCATTTATATATAGTAAAAAAATATGATTGAAGTAAATTTGGAATAAATTTTCAGCTACGAGCGTAAACATTCAATTTCTGTTAATTTTATTAATGAACGCCATAAAATATGGAATGATTCATTTCATTTTATATATTTCGCAAAACAAATTGATTGACTCCTTGTTTATCAAAGATCCAAAGTTTCCGTTTGTCAACCTATGCCATTTACTCATAACTCATATACTGGATATTTTTATAAATATTCATTGGAAAAATGTAATTGATGTTCGCAGAAAAATATTAAAATTGGAAATATATTTGGAATCATTTAAATTTTAATAAGATACTTAAATGCAAATCGATTGAGTTGATGTAGAGAAATATATATGAGATATATAATATATATATGACATAACATTAAAGTTTTTATATTTTAAATGCATTATTCCATCTCTGAGTCTACAATATGTAATTTGCGGTATCAGTACCATCTGATCATATGTCCCGACTATTATAAATGCAATAAATTTTGCGTTATTTATTATACATTTTATATTGAAGAGTACCAATTAACTTCGATTCATCACAAGATTAGATAGATTTTCAGTGCAATTATGGTTTACGCAATATTTAAATTGCAGTACAAGGTTGAAATATTAGACAAACACGTTAATGCATTTTACTTGTATCTCAAGATTAATTTGCTGAGAATGTAAATTAACAATAATGTAGCAAATTTATTGTATATAGTTACTTTAATCATTAATTTGCCATAAAATAAAAAATATTTTATATTAGTCGTTAAAGCTATGTTTTTAGCGATCTTTTTTTCCATATAAAAATTTTGTCATGCAAAGTTTCAAAACTCTAAAAGTTGTCCAAGGTGGTAGAATTAAAATACGGTCTTGGATTCAAGATTCTGCAGGTCAAAATCTACTCAAATTGTTAAAGAAAAACTATTTATATATGTAATCATATTAAATCTGCATGCAATCAAATGTACTTCCTTACATAATTTGTACCCTGTATCGCACATCAACCTCGACCTAAGCGTCATTTCAGGTTGAAAACATGTCGTTCATCCCGCCTGATAATGAGACTTAAAATTAAGCTAGTGGTGCGTGGCATCGTGCTTTAAGGTAAATTGCTGGAACATCCGGTATCAGAATTAAATATTCGAGCAAAATATTGATCAATGATTAATAACAATTGTTTTAAATAATTTCAAAGAGAATCATAATTACTATATATCTATTCGTTCATATAATATGCAATGACGATCTTACCGCTCAGAACACTTAAAAATGTTTACGTTGATAAGAGTCGCTGAATGAATCCAACTTAGGATATATTTCTTATGATTACAATAACGGATATGAAATATATACATTTTTAAACTGATTTGTAAATTTATAAAATATTCTATATTTTTGAAAATTCTGAAAATTTTACAGTAACAAAATTGGAACATATGTTTAAAATCTCTGTAAAATATCTGATAATTTGATGTGCGTATGTGTAATGATAATTTTAGATCGCTAAATATCATTTTTTACATGTTTTTTGTATTTCTGAAACTGATAGATCTGCCTTTCCAAAAATTCAACCAACTCTTCATTTCATCAATACAAGTAAAATAATTTTTAATTCATTCAAATCGGGCGCTCCGTTACTTCTGAAAAACTCTGTTAAAAACTGAATTAACACTTTTGGCACTTTTTCCGCCTATCTTCAAAACGGCTGGACCTGTCTTCGCCAAAAACTAACCAGATAGCCTCCCCATCAGTAGCAATCGATTATTTTGGTAATCATTCAAACCGGTTGATCGATGCGCCTGAAATCGTGGAGGAACATTTGTATCCAAACATACATACATACATACACACATACACACATCCATTTTTTTCCAAAGTATGCCAGAATGTTCAGAAACCTTTGAAACGTAAAGATATGCATAAATTTTCATTTTCGACTTTTTTGCGATTACTATAACTTACCCTACTGAAAGTTAAAAAACTTGATAACTTTGTATCAAAAAACGTTAGAGTAAGTTTCTGTAACGAAAATTGGAATAAACTTGCAATATCTAGTGAATTAGATTACTTAACTCAAAAACTAATATTTTAAGTATTGGAATATCAAAATATACAAGAAAGGGTCGTATTAAATTGACGCTAAACCATTTTGAAGTTCTGAAATAAAACTCGTCGATAAATCTTGAATATTGTCAGATAAAAAAGTAATGTGCAAATAACACCCCTCAGTCAAGATACTGTTTACATATATCAACATTTTGTAGATATATCATAATAATCATCCTCCTATGTTCAATATCTAGCACAATGAGTTTCTTACAAGCATATTCTATGAAACAATTAATCTCAAGATCGTTTTAAATTGTTCAGATAACTTGTTTCCTTTACTATGTGTGATTATTAAGCCTGTAAGGATTGCGAAAGAGGTAAAAACGTCGTGCCTACGTGCCGTTAGTGCGGTACACCTCACATCTGCAAGATCAAGCACCGTTGGCAAGGCCGTTGTAGAAAAAGCATACATTAAATGATAAATAAATACAAATACCAGA